AAATTAAAAAATTGATTTATGAGGCTTAATAACCTATACAAATCCGCTATTAACATTGTAGACATTTAAATTAAAAAAACTTACAATTAAAATCTAGTGGCTCCTGACATGACAAGGCATTACAATAGATTCAACTTCACTTACATCATATATAGATCTAATCCTAATTTTATAGTGTTAAAGCATAGATATTATTTGTACAGCTGTGATGAAGGCTTACATAAAAGTATCAGTCAACAGTCTCATCAGGTTGATTTGCAACCAATTTACTAAAGATTGCTGTTGGTAATACACAAAACATAATTATTACTCTAAAAAATTGCAGTTTTTATTTAATAATAGTCATCCTATATAGTCTACATTGTATTCCTGCTTATATTCACTGTAAATGGTAATTCCTCTTTGAATATATTGATTGAAGATATAGACTTGCACCAAATAATATAGAAAAATCATTAAAATGGTGTCACTGAACTCCTATTAAGAATAACAAATAGATTTCAAGTGATGGTTCAGTATTGTGATGCTTCATGCAGCCTGTAGTAGCAATTTTGCATTGATAAAACAGTTAAATTTTCACTAACATGACCTCTTCTATTGGTCCCACCATAGTTAATACGTACATAAATTTATTTTCCATGTATAAAAGTGTTTTAAAGACAGGCTATCCATGAATGATTGTCCTTTACATGGATATTTATGGTCCTGTCGGGTCCGCATCAGTCCGTCCGTCCGTCCTTTTCGGGCGGGGCGGGTCCGTCCGTCCGTCCGCTTTTGAGACCCTACCGCTTTTTAGGGACAGCCGAACCTGTCTAGAATGCGAAACCTGTCTAGAATCTATGCTAGAATCTATGGCGGAACGGAACCACAGAAAGCGCCAGCTCGGAACCATAGGTCTATCGGGGAACTAAACTAAACTAGAAAGAAATCAAAGAATGTAAAACATCAAGGGGCTCAACTTCATAGATTAGTAGCTGATGAAATAGCAGAATCTTAGAGCTGTTACTTCCGCTATAGATACCAATGAATCAGTAAGGAGCCTCTTTGCTGCTAGAAACAACTTCTTTCCTTCTTATTTTGGAAATTTTCCTTTATCTCCATTCCTTCGATGTAGCTTTCTGCCAACCAAGGGGTGTGGTACTTGTGTGGGTGAAGATTTTTACGCCTACATTTAATCACGATTAAATGGCATTCATACTTTACTTCAAAGGAAGTGTGAACTAACGAGCAGGTTATGTATACCTTATGTAGTTATGTTGCTGCTAAAAACTATTGACTTGGCTGTTGCTAAGTTGCTCTAAGGCCTTGGTAGACAGACTCTGAAATAGCCCGCATGCTAAACTAAGCTCAACTAGGCAATTATCCATTTGTGCTGCATAAAAAGTTAGCCTGAGGCTTTCCTCCTATATTATCAAGCACTAAGAGACTAAATGATACCACTAATGTTTATCAGATAAAAAACTAAAGCCAGACATACACTAGGCAACATGTTGCTGGCAACATGCTGCTGGCAACATTTGTGGTTACTTTGATCTTGTAAGCAACATGTTGCCAGAAATTTCTGGCAACATGTTGCTTACAAGATCAAAGTACCTAACCACATTAGTTGCCAGCAACATGTTGCCTAGTGTATGCCTGGCTTAAGAAGTCATATTCCACTCAACACAATATTATTCAGTTGATGCAATTTCTGTGAAATAATTCAGCCTCCTGATGTGACGTTCCTTTTAGTGACTTTATGACCATTACCATTGCCTATAAAAATACGAAGTGTCCGGCTACAGGTCCGGTCACCGGACACAGTATTCAGTGCTAGAG